TAGTCTTTAAAAAGACTAATGTCCATCCAACCATGGTGCCCACTGATAAACTCAATCTTTGGCATATCTGCCAAGTTGCTAGCCAATTGCTGCTTCTGATTTTTTTTTTTTATTTTGTGGGTTTTTTTCCCTTGGTGTGTATTATGGCAAAAAATGTATTTTTCCCTTAAGATTTTTTTATTCTGTATTAGAATGAGCCTACAGACTCTCACTGCATCCCCATGAGGACTGTGTTTCCATCTGATATTTGAGCAAACTGAAGCTTAGAACGGTGACTTGGCTAAGATCATTAACACTTAGAGGTGGAGCAGGCTGGATACAGCTTCGTGATGGAACCCTTGCCTAGCATGCCTAGGGCCCTGGCTTTAAATTCCAGAACTGCAGAATAAATAATAAAGTGGAAAGGGAGTCTGCCTGAGCTGGGCTTTCTGCTGCCAACTGCTTTGCTTTATTAGTCTTTATTAATTTGGTGCTTGTTAACTATTAAAGGTTTTAGGTCTAAATTTTATATTTTTTTCCCCTGCAAGCACCAGAAAAGCAGACATTACTTCCATCATAAGTAAAATACATGAGAAAGTATTTCATAACTGTAAGGCAGAGAAATGTATATTTGAAGGACAGTTGGATTAGCATTTTTTTCTTTCAAATTAGGGGGGACTGTTTTAAATGAAATGGAGAAGATACTTTTTTTTTTTTTTTTTGAGAAAATACCTTTTTATCCTTTGTTTCCAAGACAGTTTCTCTGTGTAACAGCTCTGGCTGTCCTGGAACTCAGTCTGTAGACCATGCTGGCACCTGCCTCTGCCTCCCAAGTGCTGGGATTAAAGGCATGCACCACCACCACCTGGCCCATTACAATAATTCTTATTGTGATGGTGGTTGAGTTAGGGACCACTCTAAAAAGAGATAGGACTAGAAGGAATTCTTGGGATTAATTCTATCAGGGAACAGCACAGTTAAACACCAGGCCTCTGACTCAGCTCGGAGGATGTAAGGATCTTTGCAGTTGATGGAGCTGCTCCTTCGGTCTCACATTCGACAAGGACTCACTGAGCACTGGTTATGACCGGGGTCCTTCCCTCCTGTTCTTAATAAGGACCACAGAGATTAGATTATGATGTTCTTGGCCCTCTTAAAAGTTAGTGGTAGTTAGCCTGGCAGTGGTGGCACGTGCCTTTAATTCCAGCACTAGGGAGGCAGAGGCAGGTGGATCTCTGTGAGTTCAAGGCCTGCCTGGTCTACAAGAGCTAGTTCCAGAACAGCTAGGACTGCAACACAGAGAAACCTAGTCTCTAAAAAACAAAACAAAAAGGTGGTGGTAGTTCATGTGCATTAACATTACATTCCTTATGCCTTTTAAAATAATCAAACATTTAAGAATAAAATGTTAACAGGGGGCTGGATTGCTAAGTGGTTGTGAGCACTTGATGCTCTTCCAAAGGATACTGGCTGCTCTCCTAAAGGACCTGAGTTTGTTACCCAGTACCTATGTTGGGTGGCCTCCACACAGAGACATGCACCCTATCTTCTCAAATTTTAACCTCCACTGATGCCAAGAATTAACCTTTTGCTCCTACTTCCTCAGCATGTTTTCTTTTATTCACTTATGTAACTTTTAGATCTGTGCTGTCCTTTAAGGAAGCCTTTAGTCACCAATGGCCACTGGGCCTTAAAATGTGTATGTTGTTAGATACACTCAAGATTTCACAAACGTATGTGAAAGTATTCAGTAGTCTTTAAATATCATGTACTGAAAATGAACGTTTTAGAAATAGCAGGGTAAATAAAAACACTGAAACTAACTTCACCTGTTTCTTTTAAAAATGGCCACTAGATTTAATAGTTTATATTTTTGCACTTTTGATTTCTGAGATATCATCTTACTGTCAAATATATGGCCTCAAAATGACAGGAATCCTCCCGCCTCAGCCGTTCCTAGTGATAGAATTACAGATATGACCCACCACGCCCAGCTTCGTATGTCTAATGAAGGTGCTCCTATAGATCAACACTCACCTTTCAAGTCACCTTTACTTTCCTGCATGAGGAAAGAACTGAAAACTGGGTCACGTTCACCCCTTGTGCCTATCAAACTGAAATGGCTATCGCTAATCAGTAGGCAGGTAAGAATTCAGACTTGGTGTCACAGGCAGCATGATTACTAATGATGTGTGGCACATACCACGCCAGACAGTCTTCTTGATAGCCATATCTAGAACATCCTTTGGCTTCCTATCCTTATTCCTTCTACATTTATTTTCTTCTACTTCTAATCACTGAAATGTTAGCTTTTCCTGAGAAATTCTGTTACTTTCTCCCACATGGTCCGTAACTAACCAGTCTCAGTCACTTTACTTTTGAAGTAGTTTCCAAATAATCTCCCAGTCCCTTGTCCTGTGTTCCTTCTGTACCATATACAACTGGAGTACATCCAATCATCACAGAATTCTTCTGTTTAAAACCAAAACCAAAATCCTCCATTTATTTTTACATTGCCTGTAGGAGCAATTCTTTAGAATTAAAGGCTTTTTTTTTTTTTTCACTTTAGTCATGTAGTCCGGCTGTTCCCAAACTTCAGCCATCTCCTGCAGCTTCCCTAAAGCTGAGGGTATCGGGTGTGAGTCACCACATCCAGTTCTCAAGGCTTTCCAGACCCTTTTCCTTGGTGCTTCCCTCTAGAGAGTTGGAACTAGAATGGGTTACTATATGTAAAGTACTTGGGGTCCTGTCTGGCTTATACTTAGAACAGTATGTCTTAGCTATTACTAAATTTGAACACGCTGTATATTAAACACTGCTATTTCTTTTCCTTTTGGACATCTCGAACTATCAACAGCTAGTGTAAGGCAACTGTCACTGCTTTCCTAAGCAACATAAACGTCTTCCTACAATTGAAAGAACCTGTAAACACAAGCCTAATTTACCACAAAAATCAAGCTTCAGACTCAATGGGGTAGAAATAAAAGGTACAAACCTAGCGTTCCCATGGCCTTGGATAGGGTGCCTACAGGGGCAGGGAGTACAGCAAATTTACAGACCATGTTGGAGGAAAACAAAGTCTGAGAAAATAGAGAAACAGATTTGGACACAGGGCAGCTGCTCTCCAACCTGGGAACGTTCGAGAATACTGTCATCTGAACCCCATTTATGGAACCTAAGGCTAAGGTTCACACTAAAGCTTCATAGGTGATTCGACAGTCCACACATAATCAGAAGTTTCACAGGTGATACAGACCTACACTTCACAATCATTAGTCTTATCAAAAGAAATGTTGGCTTAAGGAGGCTGGGCATTTCTGACATGTTCTCAGTGATCTCACGAAGCATGATTTTGAAAAGAAAATACTCATTCACCGATTTAAGAAAAATATATATGTTTATGAGTAGCCTTTTAAAAATACCTCCCCAAAGTCCCAACCCTTGGGAGTTTAAGGCTCAAAAATATATATGTACATCGAGGTCATATAAACGTGTGTCTTTTTTGTCTGATTTCTATTTATAAGTTTCAAACAGTGACTTTATGTAAATATATACTTTGCTACATACAGTATTTACAATTTAAGATTTTACAACTGAAAAATCAACATTATGCCTGTAAACGCGAAAAAGTTGGCGATTTGCGGTTATAACTTCAAAAATGTCACAAACTGTTTTACCTCGAATATTTTATAATAAATAGCACCGCAGTACCTTCCCCAAAGTATTACTGCTCAGTGGCTTATTTTCTCTCAACAACTCAGAATACCCAAGGACCGAGTAGCCCAAGAACTAGGACACAGCACTTTTTTACGGGGCAGCCGAGAATGATGGACAACCTGGATCTTCAAAACCTTACAGCAAAGCCCCTTTCACCCGCCAATCCTGAGACAGCAAATCTTGTAATTCTCCCTCGTCATCACTGTCCACATTCTCTTCTTCCTTTTTCTGCAATTCTTTTATGGTCAGAACCTCTTTCAGTTTGTTTTTTATCTCATCCTGGCGATTCCGCAGCTTTTCCACTCGACGGTAGCACTCTATCTGCTCATCAATCTCTCCAATCTGCCGGTCCAAGCGTCCCTCCTCATCCTCTTCGGCAACGATAGCTTCGGAAATAGTGTTGACTTGTCTCATGGCCTTTTGAAACTCGTCCCACTCTTTGTCCATCTGATCTTTTGGGGCATCAACCTTCCGGACCTTTGCGTCTACCTCAGGGTCGTCGAAGAACCCTTCTGGTAATGCTTCGGCGGTGTTCTCTCTCCTTTCCACCACTTTTTCGTGTATTTCTGCTTTCTCAATGGAACCTGAATGAGGAACTAAGGGGGCCTTGGGAGGGTTTGTATTAAAGGGATCGTTTGGCAGCACACTGCTTGTTGTCTCCCTCGGAGGGACAAGCGAGTGTTCTTTGTCTTTGCCCTGTGCATCTGTAAAATGCTTGCTGCTGTCCCCCCTTCCTTCTCCATCCCCCTCTTCTTCCTCCTCCTCTTCCTCATCTTCATAATCAGGGAGTAAACCGAGTCCAGAAGGTTTACTGGAGGTTGCCCTAGCGGCCTCCTTTCCCGATTTCTCAAAGTTGGCAGACGAGGCCGAGGTGGAGGGCTGTACCTGAGGTCCCACGGAGGCCTTGGCTCTCTTGGTGTCTTGGCTCTCCACATCCGTCGCTCTCCTCTTGATGGGCTGAGGCGCTGCGCAGGCCGACGGGCCCTGGGTTGCTCCCTTGGCGCCTTTCAGCTCGGCTACTCTCTCCCGGTGCTGCTTTCCCAGAACATGGGTCTGCCACAGGAGCTCGCTCTTGACCGGAGTGTTACAAAGCGCGCAGCTCAACTGCCCCAGACGGTTGTACTTGGCGAACGGGGATTCTATCCTCTTCCGGTTGGTGCTCAGGCGCTGCTTCTCCTTCATCAACCGCCTCAGTTCTTCCTGATTCACCACCCGTTTCCCCGCCGGAGTCCCAGCGGAGGCGGAGGACGCCATGTTTGCGTCAGGGAGTCAGGCGGTTGTGGCTTCTGAACCGGCGAGGCGTGATAGCGTCACTTCCTGTTATGGGGCCGATTGGCCGAAGCTCAGGAGAGTGGGCGTGGCGCCGGGGTTCCGAGTCGGCCGGTTGGGGGCTGGACCGTTGAACCATGGCTGCGATCAAACTCGCCAACCCCGGGGCTGAGGTGACGCGCAGCCAGGCGGCTTTGGCTGTGAATGTCTGCGCCGCCCGAGGGCTGCAGGATGTGCTGCGGCCGAGCTTGGGTCCTAAGGGCGCGCTAAAAATGTGAGATGCCGCTAGGGTGTGTGGGTTGTCGCGGCGCCCTCTGGGGCCGATGATGTTCAGTGAAGACCTGCAAACAAAGCTGCAGTTTTTCCTCCCTCTCGCATTCTGCTCTCAGATCTTCAGCCTGTTCGCCCAAAAGAAAAGGCCCCACCAGTAGCTGTGGCACCCCCCCCCCTTTTCAATAGCGTTCATAAACAGCTATTCGTACCGTGACTCCCTGTAAACATTAAGCCTTGAACGCTTCTGGAGCTTCCTTCACCATTCTCCTTTTGGGGATGTATTTAACCTTGTGCACCCGCTCAGCAAACGTTGGACTGCAGCCCCACCGTAGACCCGATTGTTGTGACTTGGCAGTGTGGTGTACTGGCTTTGGAGCTAGGCAGGCTTAGGTTCAAACTCAGGTTTCATCATCTGTTAGTACTTAGTAGTCAAGCTCCGGCAACTCTCTGTACCTAGAGTTCTTTATATTTATCCATCCATTTGGACATACATTTATTTAGCACCATTGTCTTACACAGGGAGAAAAAGAGTGGGGAGATGAAAAGGTCTCTTAGCAAAGTGGCACCCCGAGAGGAATGAGCAAACTGACATTAATAGTAAACGAGGCCACTTAACATCAGATGCTGGGAAAACAAATGAGAGAGTTTCTATTCTTTTCTAAAAAAAAGTTTGATTTATTTTATATGTGTGCACCTATCTGAATTTATGTGCACGAGGTGTGTGCAGATGCCCCCAGAGATCAGAGGGTGTCAGATCCCCCGAACTTGAGTGAGCCATCTGATATGGATGCTGGAAACCAAGATTAGATCCTTTGCGAGAACAGTAAGTGCTTTTAACTGCTGAGCCATCTCTGCAGCTCTTGAGACGGTATCTCAAGGACATGGTAGTGACAGGTGGGTCAATTATATATAGATGCAAACGATTTTACAGAGGAAAGGGGTCCAATTACTAATGGCTGAAGGGAAAACCTCTCAAATAACGGGTGATGTTTGAGCAGAGTTGTAGAAGAATGAGTTGGGCAGTTGGTGAAAGGACTAAAGGCCACTCAGTGGTGTAAATCCCTCAGAAACAAACATTATAATGCATTAAGGGGACTGGAAGACCTACTGTGGGAATGATGGGCGATGGAACAAGAGCGTTTGGGAAAGGCCAAGTATGTTACTGTTAAATCACTTTTAATTTTACCTTGAAGATGGTGGAGAACATAAAGTCATTGAAGGGCTGTCGATCAGGAAACTAAGTCACATTGCCTTTTAGAAAAATATAGTGCAAAGAGTTGATTCAAATTTGGAGACAAGATGGCTATCTAAGCAGTCTAGAAATGATAATAAAATTGGAGAGAAAGGGCTAAGATTCGAAGGTATTTTAAATTGTGGAATTGGCAGAGCTTGGTGCATCTAATAAATGCAAGGATGAGAGCAACTAAATTCAGTGACTGAGTTATGACATTTACCAAAATAAAAACGTACAGGAAATTTGCAGATTTGTGCATTGTTTTATACTTTTCATTAGGCAATGTTTATGACCCATTAACTACTCTCTAAGCCCATAAATGCTCCACTTGGAATGAAATCACTAGAAGGTCATCTGGGAGAAATAATTCTAGGGGCTGCAAGTGGCAGTCTTTACCACAGCATCACCCCATTCGATGTGGAGTTTCCAAGCCCAGTCATCTGTGTTTAGAACAGTGGATGACAAGAATTGGGAGTGAGTGTTTTTTGAGTCTTGACTTGTGGAGTTAATAAGTACCATTGTTCTTTGAACAGGCTTGTGTCTGGGGCAGGTGATATCAAACTCACAAAAGACGGCAATGTACTGCTTCATGAGATGGTGAGCTAATGCTCTTCTTCGTTTTCTTTCCTGAGACAGGATCTGCCTGTGTAACCCTGACTGGCCACAAACTCACAAGCCTGCCTCAGGCTCCTGAGTGTTAGACTCAGGCATTAGATACAATGCCCATCTGCTGCTGCCTTTAATACAATTTATAAGCCTTAATTAAAAACATGGCACACAGGCTGGGAATGCAGCTCAGTGGTAGAGCACTTCCCTAGCATGTACAGGATTCTAGGTTCAACATTGCAGGGGGAAGGTGCACTTTGTATCTCATATGCAACTTTATTTACTTAAAGATAGTTTTGTGGGCTGTAGAGATGACTCAGTGGTTAAGAGCACTGGCTGTCCTTCCAGAGGACCCAGCTTCAATGCTCAGAACCCACATGGCAACACACAACTGTCTGTACCTCTAGATTCAGGGGAATCCAACATCTTCACACAGGCATGCATCCAAGAAAAACATCAGTGCACATAAAAGGAAAGAAAAATTTTTTTTAGCCAGGCTTGGTGGCGCACACCTTTAATCCCAGCACTTGGGAGGTAGAGGCAGGTGGATCTCTGAGTTTGAGGCCATTCTGATCTATAGAGTGAGTTCCAGGACAGCCAGGACTGCACAGAGAAGCCTTGTCTTGAAAAATTTTTTAAAAATAATATTTGCAATGCTAGGGATTGAGCATTGGGCCCTCTCATGTGCTAGTTAAGTGCTCTTTACCACTAAGGGTAGCTTCAGCCTTACAGTTTGTAGTTTTAAAGATTTATTGATTTTTAAATTTTACTCGTATGAATGTCTATCTGTATGAGTGTATGCCACGTGTATGCTGGTGCCTGATGAGGCCAGAAAAGGGTTCCTGGAACTGGACTTAAGGCAAGTGTAAGCTTCCTGTTGTGGGTGGTGGGAACCAAACTCCGCTTTTCGGGAAGAACAGAACATACTCTTAATGGCTGAGCTCTCTCTCTAGTTCCACAGTTTCTTTGTTTTCTTTCTTTCTTTCTTTCTTTCTTTCTTTCTTTCTTTCTTTCTTTTTGAGATAGGATTTCTCTCTATGTAGCTCTTTCTGTTCTGGAACTCTATAGATCAGACCGGTCTCATATTCACAGAGATCTACATGCATCTGCCTCCCAAATGCTGGGATTAAAGGTATGCACCACTACCGGCTGGCACCACAATTTTGTATTTTTTTATTAATTTTACATGCCAGCCACGGTTTACCCTACCTCCACAATTGTGTGTGTGTGTATTTATTCTTTTTTTTTTTTCAAGACAGGGTTTTTCTGTGTATCTTTGGCTGTCCTGGAACTCACTCTGTAGACCAGGCTGGCCTTTCTCACAGATATCTACCTGCTTCTACCTCCTGGGTGCTAGGATTAAAAGCTTCTACCACCATGCCCGGCTCACAATTTGTATTTTTAAGATAAGGCTGTCAGCTAAAAACTACATTCTTGAGATATGGTTGTTGGACTAAACATCAACAGAATGAAATTTGACTATTTTCAAATGTTTATAGAGTCTAATAGCTTAGGGATACTTACAAATTAATAGCATCTTTTTAGAGCACTTCATTATAGTCTTTGTAATCATGGAAAAAGAAAAAGTCCTTTGCCATTTTCATATATGTATTCATCTTTGAGATTGAAGGGCTTAATCTTTTCTTGTAAATGTCATTGCATTTGTAAGCAAAGACTTTCATAAAATGTTCAAACCTCATTAATTCTCAACTTTAAAATTTTGGATTTGACATTTACTAAATATTGATAATGTACAACTTGTAAATGTGCACCATGAAGTTTGTTTCTTAATTTTGCTATTGACCCTAGGGTTATCTTGGGTTTAGTGGCCTTCTTTATCATAGTCCCTGTCTTTTTAAATCAGTGTTTACCTTTTCCAGCAAATTCAGCACCCAACAGCTTCCATCATAGCGGAAGTAGCGGCAGCCCAGGACCAAGTCACAGGCGATGGCACCACCTCCAATGTCCTGATCATTGGGGAACTGCTCAAGCAAGCCGATCTTTACATTTCTGAGGTATTAAAATTTTGTACTATTTCAAAGAAATTTTTTTTTTTTTTTTTGGTTTTTCGAGACAGGGTTCCTCTGTGGTTTTGGAGCCTGTCCTGGAACTAGCTCTGTAGACCAGGCTGGTCTCGAACTCACAGAGATCCGCCTGCCTCTGCCTCCCAAGTGCTGGGATTAAAGGCATGTGCCACCATTGTCCGGCTTCAAAGAAATTTTTTAAAGTTTAATTTTAGAGAATAAGAACTAATTGTAATTAAAATAATCTTAGGGGGCTGGAAAGATGGCTCAGCCGTTAAGAGCACTGCCTGCTCTTCCAAAGGTCTCCAGTTCAATTCCCAGCAACCACATGGTGGCTCACAACCATCTGTAATGAGGTCTGGTGCCCTCTTCTGGCCTGCAGGCATGACTGCAGGCAGAGTACCGAGAATACTGTATACATAATAAATAAATCTTTTTAAAAAAATGGACTTAAAAAAGATAATCTTAGGTAGTAATAAGTGGAAACCGATTTTTATTTTCCAACAAAGTAATGTCCTTTTTGCTGGGACTGAGGTTTTCCTGGTACATATGTTCCTGAGAAGGGGAATGAGGATTGGGGAGAGAAATAGACAAGAGACAGAAGGTAGAGTTGGGAGGGCTTTCAGTGATGCTGTAGAAGAGCCCCGAGCTTAACACTCACAGTCCTTATATACCCCAATCTAAAGGGGAGGACACAAGACTCCCATGATACAAGGAAGCAAGTGTAATTACCTCTTCCATCTCCAAACACCTAGTGATCATGCCCAAAGGCAAACATCCTGCTGTCTGGCCTTCTAGGAGCAAAGCTCTCAGTAGCCACACCTTTGGTCAAGCATCCTATTGTTCATTCTTGAGAGCAAGAATAGGTTTGAACTCTGATCTTTAGTCAAGATGGAATGGATCCAAAACTGGGCTCTCACACTTTTATTGCAATTATGTATTTTTTAAAATATAAATATTTGGGCTGGAGAGATGGCTCAGAGGTTAAGAGCATTGCCTGCTCTTCCAAAGGTTCTGAGTTCAATTCCCAGCAACCACATGGTAGCTCACAGCCATCTGTAATGAGGTCTGGTGCCCTCTTCTGGCCAGCAGGCATACACACAGAAAGAATATTGTATACACAATAAATAAATAAATATTTTTAAAAATATAAATATTTAAATTTGTATAGAAAGGTTAAAAAAAGTAAACTTCCCATGTACCCATGAATCATGCTTACAAAAGAAAATGTTACTATTGAAGTTGAAACAAAATTATGTTTCTTTAAAATTAACTGGGGAAAAATTACTGGAGGGTTTTCACCTTGTGCCTGTGTTTACTTTTCTAGTCCATCTTCCCTTCATTAACCACCTCTCTGCGCTCATCTCTTCACTGGCCTATGGAGTCGTCATTCACATTTCTGTGTCTGTGCCTTTGCCCAGTCATGCTCTTTCCTCAACATTGCAGATGTCTTTTCTACAATTATTTGAGTGCTCCCTCTTATTCAGAGACTATCTTGGCAAAGCATAACCTGGTCAAAGTGGAGATTCTGGCCTCTTTATGTTCCATTTGGTATTGGGCACTATCTATTCAGTGCCTGCAACTTATCTCATTTAGAATGATTGGGCTTAACTACTGGAAACTTAACTAAAACTGTCTTAACTATGCAGAAACCATCATCTCACACAAGAGAAAGGTGAGGGATAAGGTAGGGTCTGTGGCCGGTAAACTTAAAAGTTCAACCAACCATCAAATACCCAGGTTCTTTTGGTCCCTAAGCTCTTCTGAGTGTAATATGGCTTCCTTCTAAGTTGGATCTTGAAGGTCAAACAATCAGAGGAAGTCAGTGCTACTTATTTCTTCTCTGCATGGGTGAGAGTAAGCTGCAATGTGTCCTACTTTCAGTGTGACTTTTTTCTTCTGTTTTGTTGTCACTGTTTGTTTGTTTTTGTTTTGAGACACGTGTCACTGTGTAGCTCAGTCTGGTCTCCAACTTGTTGTGTAGATGGGACTGACTTCTAACTTACCACCTTGCTCCAGTCTTCCAAGCTCTGGGGTTACAGTCATGTACTCCCAGCACTTAGCATAATTTTTAGAATCACTGAATTCTCATTTATAGTCACAGTATATGTATAATAAATAGGAAATTAATCACAGCATCAAACAGCTACAGAGAATTCTATTATCCAGTCTGCAGATTTCTTTCAAATTTCACCACTTGTCATAAGAGTGTCTTTCCCAGAGAAAGGAAGCTCTAGGGTAGTGCCTTGTGTATAGTTGTCATATCCCGTTAGTTCCTGAAGTGCCGTTTATAGTTCACGGCATTGCTACTTGAAAAAATTACTCTTATTATTTATATGTGGAGGTCAGAGGTCAACCTGTGAGAGTCAGTTCTTTCCTTCCCTTTGTGGGCCCTGAGCAAACTCAGGTTGTCCCTTTTGGTGGCAAGTACCTTTACCTTCTGAGCCATCTTGCTGGCCTGGAATTGATACTTGAAAGTATCTTAGATTTATTTTTATTTTATGTATGTGACTGTTTTGCCTACATGTATGTATGCCAATCACATGCATGCCTGGTGCCCTTTGAATTCAGAAGAGTACATTGTATCCCTTGGAACTGGAATTGTGGATGATTGTAGGCCACCACGTCAGCTCTGTAAATTGAATCCAGGTTATCTGTAAGAGCAACAAGTGCTCTTAACAAAATATAAAAAAAAATTGGAATAATCCCGTGTATCTTATCAGATTACCATGACTTAAAATTAGAATTCAATAGCAACACTAATTCTAGAAAGTCCACAAACACATGGAAATTAAACAATGCTCACCTGAAGCATCAATGGGTCAAGGAAGAAATAAAGGAAGAAATTAAAGACTTCCTAAAATTCAATAAAAATGACCACACAACATATCCAAATTTACGAGACACAATGAAAGTAGTGTTAAGAGGAAAGTTCATAGCACTAAATGCCTACATAAAGAAGCTGGAGCCGGGCGGTGGTGGCGCACGCCTTAATCCCAGCACTCGGGAGGCAGAGGCAGGCAGATCTCTGTGAGTTCGAGACCAGCCTGGTCTACAAGAGCTAGTCCCAGGACAGGCTCCAAAACCACAGAGAAACCCTGTCTTGAAAAAAAAAAAA